AAGTTATATAGTTACTCCTATTCTATTGTTCCTATTGCTATCTTATCAGTAGTCAGACAGCTAGCAATATTTCTGCCAAAATTACATGAATTAACATCAAGTACTCTTGTACAAGTACTAGCTTAATTACAAACAAGGCAATAGCAGAATAGTGCTATGTTGCTTCGTGCTCATAAAATTACAGATGCTGACAAAACTGCAAAGGGTAGAATGAACAACAGAGATTCTAGAGTCCAGAGTAAGCAATGTAGTCTAAGGATAAGGTTCAGTTTTTTTTTTAGGACTGAGATGGGGAGAAAGCAAAGCTTTGAAATTCTCTAGAGAGGATTGTGAAGCTTTGAAATTCTCTACGCAGAGGACTGAGGAAGTTCAATGGTTGAACACATTCAAGACGGAGATCTACAGATTGTCAGGCACTAAAAGAATTATTTGATATACGAGGACCAGGCAGGAAGGTGGATGATGCTGAAATTCAGTTGTGACCTTACCATACCACAGCAGGCTGGGTTGGGGTTGTGCAAATAATCTACTGTTCCTTAAGCTTGGCCTCATGACACTCACTTAGGCAAGCATTCTTCAATACCGGTGTTTTAATAGACATTATTTTCTATTTTAGGCAAAGTTAAGGCTTTGTGTATAATGTAGCAGCACAGTAATTCCAACCTTGACAATGGCTCAGTGGTTAGCAATGCGGCCTCTCAGCACCAAGGACCTGGGTTCAATCCAGCCTCGGGCGACTGTCTGTGTGGAGTTTGCACATTCTCCACGTGTCTGTGTGGGTTTCCTCTGAGAGCTCTGGTTTCCGCCCACAGTCCAAAGATGTGCATGTTAGGTGGATTGGCATGGGAAAAACAGGGATACGGTAAGGGGGTGGGTCAGGATGGGATGCTCGAGGGTCAGTGTGGACTTAATGAGCTGAACAGCCTGCTTCCACAAAGGGATTCTATAGTTCTATAATGAATCGTGATTCAGGGAGTAATTAAGTTAGCTAGTTGAGTGGCTCTTACAAAGAGTCAGGACTGGTACTGTATGATATTCATTCTATGCTGTTCAAACAGCAAATCCAAAAAAAAATTACTGTCATTGATACTAGAATTTCCTGAATGTGTTGTTGTCAACTGATATCCATTTTACAAACAATATCTCAATTTTGTAAGCTTTCATTTCAAGCATTAAAAAAAAATTAACCATCCAACAAGTACTACTACATTAAAGTGAGATAGATAACTTAGACAAGTCATTCAAAACAGGAAAGATTACAAAGTACAGACCTCATACAGCTGTAGGTAACATTCTTTAACATTCATAAATACATATTCTTAGTTTAGTCTGTTTAGGATTTACATCTGAAATTTCTATGTAAACTAAAGTAAAACAAGTATTATATAGGCTCCCCAGAAAAAAGTTACTTTGGTAGGAGTGTGATGCATCTGAGATACAAGACAATCAGGAAGACAGCAATTTCAAATTGTTTTCACATCTAAGCTTGTTTCAATGGCCTTGCTGTACCTTACCTCGGAAATCACAAAAATATGTAAAATTTACAACCTGGAACCAGGCTTTGAGCAGTTAATTGAGTTGGTACTTTGTTGTAGTCCTAAGGAGTGCTACACTGTTTCAGCTTGATCTTTCAAATGAGACACTTAACCAAAGTCTACAGATGATGTCAAAGATCCCATGCTATTATCTGAATGGCAGGCAGAACTCTCCCATTGCTTTATTCTCCCTCAGACAATATCACTGGAAAAAAAGAGCTCAACTGGTCATTTCACTTACTGCTGCTTGTACGAACTTGCTGCATGCAATCTCTTGAGGACAGTTTTAAATTGGTAAGCTCTTATCTGTAACTTGCCAACCACAGAGACGGTCTTTCCCTTGTCTCCCTTTCAAATTCATTCATAACTTACGAACTATTTTAAAAAAAATTCTTTTAGCCTTGTTTCCCAAGTAAAAACAATCAGTATTTCATGGCTCTCTTCAGCATTAAATGTTCTCCTTGGAACAACCTGATCAGTCTCCACAGTGATCTCCATGCATTGTTACATAAAATGAAAGTAATTAGCTTGAATTTACTGAGATAACAAGGTGTAGAGCTGGACGAACACAGCAGGCCAGGCAACATAAAAATATGCTGCTTGGCCTGCTATGTTCATCCAGCTCTACACCTTGTTATCTCAGATTCTCCAGCATCTGCAGTTCCTACTATCTCTAAGCTTGAATTTACTATCATCTTTCAAAATGCCAGGACATCCAAAAGAGCTTCATAATGATTGAAATACCATTTGGTGTAGAATTGTTGAAATTTGATGAAATACAGCAAATATCTGTCCCCAGATATGAACAAGTCGGCAGAAGGTTTTTTTTTGGCAAATAAGATGACATACAAACTTTTTGATTCAGTATTGATACAAATATGATTAGATTTCAGTCCTTTCAAATTAATTCCCTCTAATAAACAAGTGCTTGATTGGTGGTAATTTCCTTATCAAAATATTTTGTGTTGTATTTTGTTTAGATTTGCGATAATTAATAATGTCTCCCTGCTATAGGAAATATGTTGCTAAACTTGAAATGGTTCAGAAAAGATTTACAAGGATGTTGGTAGGATTGGAGGCTTTGAGCTTAAAGGAGAGGCTGAATAGGCTGGGGCTATTTTCCCTGGAGTAGAGGCTGAGGGGTGACATAATAGAGGTTTATAAAATCATGAGGGGCATGGATAGGATGAATAGTCAAGGTCTTTTTCTCAGGATAGGGAAGCCCAAATGCAGAGGGCATATGTTCGAAGGTGAGGCAAGAGGATTTAAAAAGAGACTAAAGGGACAACATTTTCATGCAGAGGGTTGTGCGTGCATGGAATGAGCTGCCAGAGGTGGCTATGGTGGCAGGTAAAATTACAACATTTAAATGCATCTGGATGGGTACATGAATAGGAAGAGTTTAGAGGGATATGGGCCAAATGCTGGCAAATGGGATTAGATCAGCTTAGGATATCTAGTCGGCACGGACAATTTGGACTGAATGGTCTGTTTCCATGCTGTGTAACTCTTTGACTCAATGATATTGCACAAGGCTGCCTTCTGAATTTAGAATATACAGAAACATACAAATAAGGCACAAATGTAGGCCATTCAGCCTCTCATGCCTGTTTCACAATACATAAAATCATGGCTGATCAGACTGTAACCTCAAATCCTCAGTCCTGTCCACCCCAATAACATTTCATTCCCTTGCTTGACAAGTGTCCATCCATAAGAAAAAAAAAACAGAAATTGCTGGAGAAGCTTGATGTTGAGTCCTGAAGCTAAGGTACCTAAAGCAGGAGATAAGGTGTTGCTCTTCCAGCTTGCATCAATGTACCTTATAGCCTTCCGCATTCAACACCAAATTTAACAATTTCAGAGCAGGAACATCTCCTGCCTGTGATTATTACCACATCCCACAACCAGCTGTCCTGTCATAAAATGGTTTGCTTTCAGCACAGCTCACCCATTTTCAACTACTCATCATTCCCACTATCATCTATCTTATCTTTGCTTCTTTCCTGGGTTACCATCAATAATCCTTTTGCCTGCCTCCCCTTTTTATTGTCTGTCACTGGGCTCCATCTCCACTTATTTGCTCACTCCTTTTGCCCCACCCCCACCTCCTATCATCAGAATAATAACCACCTTTTGCAAGCTGCTTTCAGTTCTAAAGAAGGGTCACTGGCCTCAAAACATTAACTTTGCTTCCTCTCCACAGATGCTGCCAGACCTGCCGAGTTTCTCTAGCAATTTCTATTTTTGTTTATTTCAGCTCTCCAGCATCTGCAGTTCTTTTTGATTAAGTATATATCTATATCTGTCTTAGAAATGTTCAAACATTCCCTGCAATAAAATAAAGAACTGCAGATGCTGAAAATCTGAAATAAAAACAGAAAAACAAGAACAAGTCGATATAGATTTAAAGTGGTGCGTAAATAAAGGAAGGGTCATGCAAGGAAAAACCTCTTCTCACGGCCAGTTGTAACAGTATGGTATGCAATGCATGGAAATATGGTGGAGGCAGGTTCAACTTAGGTATTCAAGAAGGCATTGGATTTTTTTTTGGATAGTGGTAGTGTGCAGGGATATGGGGAAAGGCAGGAGATTGGCCATAGGTAATAGAGACAGTGCCAGCACAATGGGCCAAATGGCCTAATTCTGCAGTTAATAACTGTTATTGTTATTAAGGCAACTTGCTCATTCCAGATATTAGTCTAGTTAACCTCTGAACTGCTTCCAACTCATTAACAACCTTCCGCCAGTACAGTGACCAGTACATAAGACTTCCAGCCCAGCAATAATTTTAGACCTCAATGGTATTTGTTGACAAGTCAACTCCAAATTAATTTAAGACAGAGAAATTGCGATAAGTCACACAGATGGGCTTACTTGGAGGAAATAAATAGTTCACATAAATAGTACAATCCAGAAGAAACAATCTCTCCCCCAGAAACTCTTAAAAATAAAGCAAAAATCTGACCCGTAGCATTCATTCACAATCACAAGTAGTTTGATAAAAAAACCACAAACATGGCACCTCAAATGCTAGTCCACTGCCTTCTTAAAAAGGGAAATATCTCAGACAAAAACAAAAGACATGCAAGTACTGTCGAGGAATGTGACTTTTTTTTTTAAAAGGTATGGTTTTGAAATCCTTTAAAAAATATAAAACAAACAGTCAGGAAGGAATTAATGACAGTTGGCGAGCATATTTTGGTAAATCCTTACATTTGATTTTCTGTTTTTACAAGCGTTTAAAAAATGTATAAGTGGCAATTTTTCTCACAATGTTCCTCAATGCTATTTGAATAGTACCTATCATCTTAATTTACAATGTTAGTGCTTAGTGAAATTAATCAGCAGTTAACTATCTACAAGAAATCTGCATAGAAGTTGTACTGGCATAAGCACTGTTAAACAGGTGTTAGGAAATACTAAATGTTTTAGAAAAACTAGCATCTAATATTATTCCTTTACCTTAATATGAAAGAAAACCATACTCACTGTCTTTTCTTCAGCTTCAAAGCCAAAAACATTCCTCCGTTTCACAGTCAGCAGGTCAAGTTCATCATTGTCATCACCATCATCATTCCAAAACTGAAGAGGGATTGTTCCCTCATCCTTCTCTACTTCAGCATTTTGGTCACTTAGATTTCCATCATCACTGGATTCTTGGTTTTCATCATACACACTTCCCTCAACAGCTTTTCCATCTTCAGTTTTCTCCCTGGACTCCATTTGGGAAGAGGGTTTGTGTTCCCTAAATTGAGCCTTAAAATCTTCCAATTCCTCATCAGCATCTGAAACATCTTCCTGTAAACTTTCAGCCACAGTATCTGTACCTTGTACTACATCTCCTGTGCAAGGTACCTTGCTCCTTTTTAGTGCTTTTTGAAGAAATCTAATTCGAGGAGCTACAGCAAGGCCTAGGGAGCTGTGATGAAAATATATTTGACATTTTTTTTAAAAAAATTACATGGAAATACACAAAATATACAGCACATATACAAGACACCAGTCCAGACCAGTCCATAGTGGCATTTATACTTGATTCTAGCTTCTTTCTTCATTAAAATGTATCTGGATAATCCTCTCTCCTTTCTTTCTCATTGACTTCTCCAGCTACCTCTTAAATCAATTTATATTATTTACCTCAGCCACACTCTCTTGTAGCAAGTTCTACATTCTCAACACTCTTTGGGTAAAGACATTTAAACTTTCCGTTTGATTTTTTGGTGGCTATCCTACATAGAGTCATCGAGGTGTACAGTACAGAAACAGACCCTTCAGTCCAACTTGTTCATGTTGACTAGATATCCTAGATAAATTTAGCCCCATTTGCCAGCAATTGACCCATATCCCTCTAAACTCTTCCTATTCATATACCAATCCAGATGCCTTTTAAATGTTGTAATTGTACCAGCCTCCACCACTTCCTCTGGTAGCTCATTCCATACATGCACCACCGTCTGCGTGAAAAGTTGCCCCTTAGATCCTTTTTAAATCTTTCCCCTCTCACCTTATACCTATGCCCTCTTGTTTTGGACTGCCCCACCCCAGGGAAAAGACCTTGTCCAAATACCCTTTCCATGCCCCTCATGATTTCATAAACCTCTATTAAATCACCCTCAGCCTTTGACGCTCCAGGGAAAATAGCCTCAGCCTATTCAGCCTCTCCCTATAGCTCAAACCCTCCAAGCCTGGCAACATCCTTGTAAATCTTTTCTGAACCCTTTCAAGTTTCAAACATCCCTCCTGTAGCAGGGTGACCAGATTGCACACAGTATTCCAAAAGTGGCCTAACCAATATCCTGTACAGCCGCAATGTGACCTTCCAACTCCTATACTCAATGCATTGTCCAATAAAGACAAGCATACCACTTCTTCACTACCCTATATACCCGTCACCCCACTTTCAAAAAACTATGAACCTGCACTCCAAGGTCTCTTTGTTCAGCAACACTCCCCAGAACCTTACCATTAAGGGTCAAAGTCCTGCCCTGATTTGCCTTTCCAAAAACCAGCACCTCACATTTATCTAAATTAAACTCCATCTGCCATTCCTTGGCCCATTGGCCCATCTGATCAAGATCCCACTGTACCCTTCGGTAACTTTCTTCGCTGTCCACTACACTCCAATTTTGATGTCATCTGCAAAACATACTAACCATACCTCCTACGTTCACATCCAAATTATTCATATAAATGATGAAAAGCAGGCGACCCAGCACCAATCCCTGTGGCACATCACTGGTCACAAGCCTCCAGTCTGAACAGCAACCCTGCACCACTACCCTCTGTCTTCTACCTTTGAGCCAGTTCTGTATCTAAATGGCTAGTTCTCCCTGTATTCCATGCGATCTAACCTTGCTAACCAGTCTACCATGAGAAACTTGGTCAAACGCCTTACTAAAGTCCATTCAGATCACGTCCACTGCTCTGCCTTCATCATCTTCTTCATACTTCTTCAAAAAGCTCAACCAAGTTAGTGAGATGCACAAAGCCATGTTGACTATCCACAATCAGTCCCTGCCTTTCCATCAACAGCCTTTATAGATGTTTGGACTCACAAACCAAAATACATTTTCAGTCTGTTTTTTTTCCTTCCTGTTTCTAACTTTTGAAGACCTTGATCAGGTTTTTCCTCAGTCTTCTCTTTTCTCTCAAAGAGTGCTCCAGACTATTTGTCCTTTCCTGGATGAGTGTAACCTTGTGGCTCTAGTAGCATTCCAGTAAATCATTTTTGCAACTTCTTCAATGTTTCTATATCGCTGTGCCAAATGGAGATCAGAACTTAAAGCATGTAAGAAAAATTCAAATGTATAATTGATTCAATAAAATGTACTGTATCATATAAATAAAAATATCCATCACATCCATCAATTCTACCTTTTCTTTGCACATATCCGCTTCTAGCCTTCTGTTTTCTCAGCACAAAATTCTAGTCCGACGCACCGGTACAGTATCGAAGGTACACATGGGAGCTGCTTTTCAGATGAGACAATAAACCAAGGCCTATTCTGCTCTCTCATGTACTTGTAAAAGATCTAGAAATGCTGCCTGATTTGTCAGATATCTTCTCAACCTTTGTTCCTTTAATTTAGATTTGAAATTAGACTTCAAATACTCCACAGGCTGTAAAGCAATTCAGAATGTTCTGAGAGTGTAACTTCGTTCCCCTTTTCCCAGGTCAGGTAAATGTTTAGCCATCACTTACTCACTCAGAACCGAACAACAACTATAACATTTCTGAGAGTATCATACACAAGAAAGAACACTAGAATTTATAGTCTGCTTAATAAAGTATATACAATGTATAAATTTGAACAATGGATTTATTTGTTTCAGTAGCATATCCTCACAGGACTTGTAAATGTTATACTTTTTATCAAAAGTACTGCATTTTAAACATATGAGGAAGTTTTATACCAACATCAATTCCTTAACTTTCCACTACCAAAAGAATTTGCTTTACTACACAAACCATCAACTAGCTGATGTCTCCATAACCTCAAATCATTTACACTGCCTGATGCCTAATTTACAGATGTTCGAACTTGTAGTTAAAGTCTCAGTCTCACTATTGGGAGATAAAAAGATAATCATGGCTATTCTGGCAAAAATGAATGCTATCATCAATTTACCCATGTTCTGGCATTCTATTCTCTTCACAAACAACAGAATTTAAAACACAACTGCAATTAAGCAAATTAAACAATAAATAAGTACATAGATAAATAAATACGCTCTCTCAGCAAAGCAGACTGAAAAAAAAATTTGCAAAAACTATTCTTGCACCATACAGTGGTAGTGTCATGTAACCATACTGAAAAAGGGCAGCATTCTGCGACCTCCATTTCTTCTACTGGTGGAAAAAGGAATAACTAACTTCTATTTTTCAAAATGGCCTAAGTCACATACTTTTGAAACAAGTACAGGTGTGATAAGAATACTAGTTTTCTGATGACAAAATATGGAATCCTAGCAAACATCAAAGAAGAACATATGAATACACAGATGAATTAATGCGTAAGTTGAGAGAAACAGGAGACAAAAAGAAAATATACCTTATATGACATTACAACTGCAGGAAAGGAACAAAAAGACCTGGGATTAAAAGTACATTTCTTTCAAAGTGGAAAAGGACACATCAAAAGAAAACATAACGCTGTTTTCATGCATAGGTGTATTTAGCATATAAGCAAAGATGTCATGTTAAATTTCTACAAGACATTGATTCAGCCAAAAACATTCTAGGCATTCAAATACAAGAAGGATATTAGTGCTGTGGAAATGATAATGGAGATTGACTGAAATTCATAACAAGAAACAAGTTATAAAGAAAGTTACTTCATGACTGAAGTGGGTTTAGTAGGAAGTTTCTAAGATCGTGAAAAATTTTGTAAATGTAAATAATAAAATAGTACTTGTCCTTGTTGGCAAATTGGTAATGAGGACACAGACTGAAGATTAACATCATAGGACATTGGGGGGATTGGAAGGTTCCGATTGCTGGGATTAAAGTATATTTTTCCGTTACCATTCCCATTACTACAATGTCTTTCTAAATTTCCTTTCACAAAAAGCACAATCATAAACTGCAATGCCTTAGCCCTCATCCTACCCACTCACCAAAATAATGACATTTGGCTCCCACAACATAAATCATTCCTCTGTAGAGAAGAATCAAAAACAAATACCTAATTCATTCACTGGAATGATTGATGTCTATTAAAAATATAATTTATTTTTAACCAAATTGAAAGCGTCATATATATTACACAACATTACAGGCCAGAGAGGAATATGTAGGAGGAAAAGAAGTAAAAAAAAATCTCAAAATACTTCTACACTAAAATGGCAGCACATATCATACTAACTCATGAAGATTTAACCTTAATCTTGTACAAAAAAGTGCATTCGTAACTTGACGTTTAAACTATATAAGATCAATCTGCAAGTAAAATTTAAATTTCTGCAGAAGAAAGGAATATTTAACCCTAACCATATCCATCTATAGTTGGCATTCAAGAACACAATGCTATCCTTTGTAGTTGAAACTGATCACGTTTTGTTTCAGGTAATGACACAGGCCACTTCCTGCAATACAACACAACCTCAAAATATTACTTACAATGCATATTCCTTTAATGGCATTGCGAAAACATCAAAAACATCTTTGTTCTTCATGAGGTAAACTGAACGGATATAGGACACAAAGCACTGCAATAAAGCAAACAGTTCAGACATTATAAACAAATTCTAACTTAATTAGAACAATGCATACTTAAAACTTCAACATACTGAAAAAGGGTGATTTTGGAGTCCCTTCAAGGAACAGGATTATGGGAAAGTCACCTAACACAAGAATTCTCATCCCTGGTCATCCCCATTAAAGACCAGAAGTGAAAAGGATGGGAAGTTCTGGGCCCAGTAGGTCATTATGGTAACACTACAACAAAGCCCATGATACCCATCAACTCGCCCTTCAAGCATACTCTTGTCAAAGATATGGCATGAGAATGCTAGAATAGCCACAAACACTAAGACTCAATGTTTTCTGAATAATTTTTGCCCCCCATTTGATTGTAAGCTTACGAAAATTAGGGTAATGATAAAATTACACAGTTTTAAACAGATTAAATCACTATGTATGTCGTTCAAGGACACTACAAATCTGAGTATCAAAGAGTAACTTAATATAACTACCTACACAACGTCAATGACAAACACCCAAGTTTTCACACAATTTTCAAATTTCGGTTTGATGTAAAACCAAAGTCCGTACTCCAAGATATGGAAGTATCTTTGTGCTTAGAAAGGACCTGGGGTATTACGTTTACTAATTTTTTTGGGGGGGGGGGGGGGGGGGGGAAGGAGTTGGTAGAGAGATAAACTGATCATTTGGCTGTATCCCTTAATGCTTTTTTTAGGCAAATTGATGAAAAGCCTTAACAGTATTATTACAGTTGAAATGATCAGAAATCAAAAGACTCACTCGTTGTGCTCGTTCTTTCAGCTCTTGCTCTTGAGCTAAAAAAGCTTCTAGCTTTGTCTGAACATTTATTAATTTTCCTGGATTTATTCTGTTGAAAATGATTAAATACATTAAACTTTTTTTAAAATTTGCTGACAAACCATTAAATCTTCAACAAAAATATAAAATGCCGTTAAACTGAGCAGATCCAAAACCAATAGAGTCAAAAAGATGATTTCAATTAAAATTTTAAATTTTGCATAAGCACTGACACAATATCAACAGCAACTTAGAACATCCAGGCACAAAATATAAATTTTGATCAGTTTTAGCAGTAAGTATGTGCAGTTTTACTAAAAGTGAAAAGTTTCAAATTTCAACATGTTGAGATAAGAACATAAGAACTAGGAACAGGAGTAGGCCATCTGGCCCCTCGAGCCTGCACCGCCATTTAATAAGATCATGGCTGATCTTTTTGAGACTCAGCTCCACTTACCCGCCCACTCACCATAACCCTTAATTCCTTTACTGTTCAAAAATTTATCTAGCCTTGCCTTAAAAACATTCAGCGAGGTAGCTTCAACCGCTTCACTGGGCAGGGAATTCCACAGATTCACAACCCATTGGGTGAAGAAGTTCCTCCTCACCTCAGTCCTACATCTGCTTCCCTTTATTTTGAGGTGATGCCCTCTAGTCCTAATTTCACCTGCCTCCACTTTATCTATTCCCTTCATAATCTTATATGTTTCT